ATTCATATTTACATGGGTCCGGAAATGCATAGTTTTCAACATACAGTGTGTTGAACATAAAAAAAAATCGGTTACTTAATTATTAATATCTCAAATGTCCTTCCACTGATTTTCTTTAAATTTGACAATGATATTTTTTGTCATGAGGGGCTGATATACCCTCAATTGGGATTATGAAATCACGTGGCGTCCCGGGGCGCAACCTACCGAATAATATTGTCAATAAAATGTGCGCCACTGATGTTTTCGAATTTTGTATTTCCATAACCTATTGTCCAACTGAGAATACAACAGTTTGGTTTCCTGAATTTTTTTGGAATTTTGCCTCATTTCCATGGAAACAAATAAATACCAATTTATTGCCTAAATTTGCGCCTGAAAATTCCTTCAGAAACTGAAGTGAAATTAATGCTTGATCCATGTCCATAGACAAAGAATAAGAATGGAGATTCATTCTCTTCAAATATCTCATGATACATGTTCAACACACTCTACACTCTGTATATTGGGAACTATGTATTCTCCAGGAAGGAGTAGTTTTCAATGATCAATGTCAAACATGTATTATAAAATATTGGAAGATAATGAATCGTCATTCTCATTGTATGTCTATGGACATGGATCACACATTTATTTTCACCCCTGTTTATAAAGGAATGTTTTGCACGAATTTATACAATTAATTGGTACCTATTTATTTTTTCCTACGGAAACGAAGCAGAATGTCAAAACAATTCAGCAGACCACAATGTTGTATTTTTATTCGGTCTATAGGATATGCAGATATAGAATTCGTAAAAAATCAGTGGCGCACATTTCATTGACAATAATATTCGCTAGGGTGCCTCCGGGAAGCCACTGGATCTCACAATTCCAGTTGAATCATTGGTAAATCAGCCTCTTATGAAAAAGAATATCATTGCCGAATATCAAGAGGATCAGTAGAAGGATATTTGAGATGCTTTTTTTGAGTTTAACACATTGTATCTTGAAAAATATGCATTTCCGGACCTATGTGTGTATGAAATAAAGTTCATGTTTTCTCATGCAGAATCACCCTATTGATTGATGACACATATTGGAATTATACTCATATTTTTATTTGAAAAAAAAACAGGAGGAGCAAAAATCCCAAATGATAGTGAAATAAAAGTTAGAGACGGGGGTCTCCAGACCAACCCCACCCCTCCACTTTTCTCTAAACCACGTTACTCGGCTAGCCAATCGGAGACCAGCATCTAGTTGGAGGCCACACTGATCCGTGACGTTTCCGTGACACTTCCGAGGCATTTCCATGACATTTTCGTGACATCTCCATGTTTTGTGACGTTTCCGTGACACTTCCGTGGCCTCCAACTAGATGCTGGCCTCTGATTGACTAGTCGAGTCACGTGGTTTGGAGAAAAGTGAAGGGGTGGGGCTGGTCTGGAGACCCCCGACTGCTACTAATGAACTTTATACGATTATGTCATGAAATTGCCTATCTTTTGTAGAGCAGATAACCGCTTCTGATGGACGGAAGACAGATAATGCCTTCTCAACACGTGACCATATCTGCAAGTGAAACTACACACACTGCAATGATACTTGGGAATTTTTCCACAGCAATCCTTCAGGTGAGTGTAAACTGATGTTTTGTGTTTGTATTTTTTATTACAAATAGGGCAAAGATGCTGTCCTGTATCGTCTTGCCTGATTTGTGATCCAAAATCTGAAATGGTAGATGAGTTATATACAGGGTGTTTGGAAATTCAGTATCGAGATTATAATCCTGTAGGTATTTGTCAGGTCAAACTGAGACTTTCGAACATGTATCTGAAAACCCTTTTTGATCGATCTATACTGACCGTTCAGATTTCAAGATTTTCAAAGCTCTTTGGGAAGAACTGGAGGACTATGAAGACAAAATTGAAAGAAAATTTGAAATTCGAAGCTCTGCAGAGCAGCAATGAAGCGTTCGTGGTAACATATTCATGAAAACAAAAGTCCCACTATGATCTGAAATCTTGATACTGAAGTTTGAAATGTCCATATAAATATTCGGCATCCCCTCGTCATGCACATCTGAGAATTCGAGAATGGAAAACAAGAACATATACAATATACAACTATGAATTGAGTATTATACACACTAATACTCAGATAAATTAATTATATTATAACAATCCATTTTATTGATAACGATAGGAGTGTGTTCTAAAATTGAATAAATAAACAACAATGCATTAAAACTGAAAATAATTTTAAAAAAATTGAAACAAGAAAGAAGTTTCATTTTTCAGCTCGAGAATGTTGATCGAGACGAAGACGAAGAGACGAGATACAATCTTGTCTCGTGTATGATACACTATTTTTTTCTGTGAGGGCAAAAATAACGATTTATTATTGATAATTCAACTCATTATGAATAATTCCATAAAACGCTGAGTTTTGATATTCTTCTGGATATTCATAAGTAATATCACGATGTTCTGAATATTCGAGATAATTATGTTGCTTCATTGTTCACGAAATTGTGTTGCCGAGCAACACCACGAGTCCGTCAGGAGGAGTAGTATTACTTCACGACAACACAATTGAGTTTACAATGGGATACCTATTTATGAGAACAGAGTGGTATTTTGTTGGACTACTTCACGTTCACAAAGCATAAAAAGCATTTATTATAAATGAGTGATTCTTTCTGACAAATACAGCCATAATTATTTCACATAATGATGAAGATGATGATGAAGATGATGAAAAGCCCTAATTTCGAGTGACAACGGAAAATGAAAAAACTCCACCGCCCCACGTGAGAGTCGAACTCACAACCTTTGGATTACATGCCCAACGCTCTGCCAGTTGAGCTAACGGGACATCCGTCGATCAATCGGCAGGTAAGTCGAGTTCTCATCATAACACCAGGCGGCAGAATCCCTCCAAATCCCAAAGTCACTCGAAATCATGCACTATATGAAGCATCGCTGGAGGATGGTACTTTACAGTCTCCAGTTTTCCCCGTTCGTCCTCTGGCATTGTCTTTCCTTGTGTACGAAAATGTCCGCAAGCAATCTATACATAAAAGTGAGTGATAATTTTTGTTCAGAGGACGAACGGGGAAAAATGGATGCGGTTCCAGCACAGAGGCACAGACCAGTGAAATAAAAATTGAGAGTTGATGCGACCTTCTTGTCATCAGAAATGTCAAAATAATTGTTTTGTCAATCGAAGAGTTGAATTATTGAAAATACATTTGATTCCGTTGGTCCACATGAAATGGATCCATTCACCTCTTATTGTGGTTTACCTGTGAGCACTCCCAGAAACCAGCCAGAAACAGTCCTATATATTCAATTGAATCATTTGACAATAGTGATGTAGCATTCAAGTGTCGTTCACGAAGTAAGTATTTATCATTACTGAATCAACAATCAAATATATTTTTTCTGCAACCGACACAAAAGTCGTCCATTTTGATACCAAAATTAGCTCTTAAATTGACGTTCCTATTACTGACACAAAAATAGGTATGTTGCTAGGCAACATATTTAGTTCCCAGGAGCTAAAGTTGAATTTTAGTTCCTAGGAGCTAAAGTTCAACTAAAAAGGATCTGCTGGAAGTCATCAAGAATGAACAACATTGTGACGGTTGGTTATTTGGGTTGAGACGCATACCTGATTTGTTTCCGATCTCAGCAGATTTGGCTGTTCATACCCATGCTGGAGATATAAATACACCTTTATTATAGTTTAGTATTGAAATTATAAACATCTCAGTTAAGTATTTTCGTTTTGATCAGGATCAGGGAAACCTTCAAGATTCAAATACTTGCTTGATCTGTATTTCATTCGTTATTCTCGGGATGGATAACTTGTTTTTGAATAATCACGGCAAGCATTAGTTTTTTTGTCTCAAACAACGATATTGTTTAGCTTCATTTCGATCATCAAGTCAAACACAGTGTTGTATGGAGAGGAATAAATAATCACATTATCATTGTTGATATGCTCACTAACCTAACATTTTCCACGTCTTGTTCCTATAGCTGGCACTGGCACGGTATTTGCCATTAGAGCACCTGGTCCATACATAAATATGTCACTCTGTGGTTGTATTTATATTGAAACTACAATTCGAACATCCTAGAAAACCTAACCTAACCTGCTGTTAATGCAGGTAGAATATTCTCACCACATGGATTATTTCTCAATATTTGTTGCATTGCATACATATGGCACGGCATTGGTGGTTACTTCACATGTTCATTTAACTTAATTGTTTCGGTTGCAGAAAAAATAGCATGTTTCATTCGGATCAAAAGTGACTTTGTTCGAGTCGCAAATTTTGCTTTCGCTCGGCTTCGCTAAACGCTCCGCCTCGCAAATGCAAAATTCGCTTGTCAAACAAAGTGTCACTTTTGATCCTAATAAAACAATCTACTATTAAACCTGCACATTTAAATAGCTTTCTTCAACTTTCAGGTGATTTTGAATCTTCCGTCAACGCTGTTTCCTAACGAAGTACTTCTGTATCTCAATCATCATTTCTTCATCATCTCTTGTATCCGAAATATCTATAATTTTGGAAATTATTGTCATAATAGTGATACACTTCAATCAGACAAATTACAAACATTTTCCCACTCGTGACTCGAATATTTGAGGTTATGTGTATCGCACCGTCGTACAAGCACCAGTTCCGAAAACTCGAACTCTGATCAGGCATCGAGCAAGTTTGAAAGCCAGTGGAAATCATTTCTCGATAAAAGTTCGCTCTTGATATTCTCAGTGGATCACGCAAAACGCACTCGGTGCCGAAAAAGTTCTAGCTAGTGCAACGACTGGAGAACGCTATTATATGTCAATCCTCTCATTAAATGTCTTGAAGTTTCATGTTTTATTACCATCAGAATGGAACAAATAAAACGCTACTAAAATGTAAAAATGTTTCCCGTCACAGATTGAAGCAAAATTGTTCTCATCTAATAGTTGCTAAATATATTCAGATTTCTTCATTTTTAATTATCTACATTATCGACAGAATCTTCTATGTCTCCTACATCGTCTTCGGACTCATGCAGCATACTCTCCATTTCATTATCCCTATTCATATTTGCTGCATCTCTATCATACATCAACCTTTTTGGTCTCTTTCTGTTCTTGGACAGCGCACCAAGGCACTCTCATTTCTCTTCACAGCATTCCTCATGACTTTCTTGAAGAACGATTCACACTCTGACAACGTGAATCTGCCGTCAGCTTGACGAACAATGGTGAAGAACAGTCCTATGACGTTCTGGTACAGCTTGAAAGGTATCTTCTCCGTTCCATCCCGTGACCTAGTAGGGTAATCATAGATTTTGACCCCAATATTGATAATAACTAAGCGGGACCTTTTTCAATTTGTTTGAGAATATTTCCGGAAGACCTTCAAGAAAGTCCTACGATGCCCTAAGTAGGATAGCGAAATATGGAGGAATAATGGTCCCCAAGATCGACAGTTCCGATATTATCTCCTCACCGTTGAATCCAAGCAAAATTGCTGGGACACAGAGCTACCACGTGTAATTTGACTCAATTTATCAATTTGGCAAAATGAACCGTTTGTTCATGAGAAGGGTTCAAAGTTCACATGAAAAAACACATTTTTGCAGTCTGTTCAGAAATAAGTGGAACGAATTCGATGAAATTTGGCAATGTGTATTTCAGAAGATAACTTCCCTTCTGATAATCGGAGGAACCTGAAAGGAATTGTGAAAGGGTTAAAACCACCCTCACTCATTTACATTTCCTAGGGGTTATAATATGGTTTCGAAATTTAGTGAGCTCAAAGACTAATCAATTACCTTCATTTTATTACTCTTGTAAAAACTCTGTATACCGCATGGTTTCAAATAATGGTACCAAATATTCCTATAGTACAAGTTCCATCAAATTGTGATATAAAACTCAGTTGGCAGTGGAAACAAAAGCAGAACGTTTATTCATAATAAATGTTCGATATGACGCCCACCTTCAATAATAAAAATATCAATTCGACGTGGAAAATTGAAATGCACCCTCAGAATCGTCGTTGTCTCGTAGTGCGTCAACGGCAATTTGGATTCTGTTCCACAGCTGTTCGGAAGTATCAGTTTGAACTTCATATACTTGTGTTTTTCACGCTTCCCAGATGAAGAATTCGAACGGATTCAAATCTGGAGACCGCGGAGGCCATTGAATAGGTGTTTCGATCTTGTCCCCTACCAATCCATCTATCAGGATATTGTTCGTTCAGATATTGTCTTACTGCACGTGCAAAATGAGGTGGTACACATGTTTCGACGAACATTGAGGGGCAAGTCCTCTTATAAATCTGGCAAAATTTCTTGAAGAAAGTGAAGGTAACTAGCACCATCAAGGAGATGTGGCAATCGGATCGGCCCAACCAAAAATGTTTCGATAAATCCGATCCAAACATTAATTTCAAATTCTCGTTGATAGTTTCTAGCTTTAATGGCATGTGGGTTTTCATCAGCATATACATGCTCATTGTGCAGGTTCGCCATGACACAACATGTGGAACAAGACTCATCTGTAAAGAGAATATCAGTGTGAAATCTGTTGTCAAGTTTCTGCGCTCCCAAACAATCCGTGAAGAATTAAACGTGATCCGTGGTCAAGTGGTAATAAATCTTGCACGAACTGTATATAAAATGGATGCATTGATTAATCTCCGCAGATCCGATTCACAGTGTTTTTTGGAATTCCTGTTTGTCGCTGCACAGATCTGGAACTCATCTCGGGATTGTCATTGATTAATTCAAGAACAGCTTCTTCCCTATTAGGTCTTTGGACTCGGCGTCTTCCAGCGTCAACTTTGACGGGTTTCAACATCCCTGTTTCTCGAAGACGTCTCTCAATTCGGGCAAAAGTTTTATGATTCGGAATTCTTCGGTTTGGATACCTCTCAATCTGTGGTATACGCAGGCACTTCTGCGACAGGTACCTTGACAGAATCCAAGAACTAAGATCATATCGATCTGCTCATCATAAGATGAAACCATATTTGATAGCAGTTGAAATAGCAACAACAATTCAATAATACTAAATGGTCGCGGTAGAACAAAATTGAAGAGTTTATTGAAACGTTTAGAGACAACGTCAACAACAAACTTGGATGACAATGAATTTGTTTCCTGTCAAAATCACGACTTGCCTTCGTTTCCACTGCCAACTGAGTTTCATATCACAATTTGATTGAACTTGAACTGGGAATATCTGGTAGCATCATTTGAGAGAACATTTTTTTTCTTGAGAACTATGCGGTGAACGAGTTCTTTACACGAGTGATGCAATGAAAGTTATCGATGTCTTCAAGCTCAAAAAAATTTTAGAACCGTATTATGACCCCTAAAGAACTTCTGAAAAAAAAGTCAGGGAGGGTGGAAGGCAGACCCCTGACTTCAAAGTCGGGATCCCGAGATTGAAGTCGGGATCCCGAGATTGAAGTCGGGATCCCGAGATTAAAGTCGGACCCCCGACTTCAAAGTCGGGATCCCGAGATCGAAGTCGGGATTCGAAAAACAAAAGTATAGGTGGCCCTTCAGCGCCTTCGTAGATATTTCACTTTATACCCCAAAATGAACAAAAATAATATTTTGAGCACATATATGAGCAATAAAAATCGTCTGTGCATGATTAAAAAGTGCATCGTTGGATCCACATCTTGATGCTCTTCTCAGATATGACCAAAAATTTGAGAAATTCAAATGTGAGTATAGGGTGTTGTTTTTGGGCAGAAAAGATTTGTGAATTTTAAGTGAAGTCGAACCTGGATTCTATCTATTGTTGATGCCTCAATCAATTCCACAGGATAGATTGGGTAAGTGTATTAATTTTGAAAAAAATAAATAGGTTGGTTGGAAAGTTATGAGACGATGAAGATATGGGAAAATTGATGTAACATTCCGTATCTCGGTCTCAGTGACCCCTATCCACAGTTGAATTATTTACCTTCCCCAATGAAACACCCTGTATGTTTCACACAGCAGCAAATGTAGATTAGCTGCCTTATATGAAATCCTATAGCCTAGCTATACGTTCGGCTATGAACCATATCAGCTGCGGCAGTCAATTTACTACTTTACTGTCTAGTAAAACGAATAACTATTCGACCTTGGAAATGATATTAACCTTCCACTACTAACGTGGGTCCATGTAATATGAATATTAACGTCGGAAAAAATCGAAAACCATGCAAAACTTAATCATTCTTGACGAAAATATATAGGGACATTCAAGATAAGTATATTCACACATTTTGAAGGTTAATCGGAATCTCTTCATCATCATCCTGCAAACTCGAGTCGTCGTCAGATGACTCGAAATCAGTCTCAATATCGACGTAAAGTTTGCGAAGATATTCTTGTACTTTTTCGTAACTCATTTGAAGCACTCTCTTATCCTATATTCAGATTCAATAATCTGCAGGAACCAGAAATTAATCAAGAATATTCACCTTAACAAATTACCCTTGATGACACTGACCGTGCGGAGTGAGAGTCCGCATAAGAGCCCAACTCGAACACGCAGCAACCTGCTCTGTTCACCTATCGACACTATTTCTGGGACCCCAACGGCAACAGCTAATCAGCCGTACAGCCGCCTACTCGGAATCGTTCGTTGAATACCGGTTGAATCTTGGCGTTGCGGACTCACAGTCCACACGTTAGTAACGGAAGGTTGAATATATCGATTTTGGGTGCAACTTTACCAAGTTGAGCTCATAGTTCAGCTATCCCACCCAGGAGGTCGTGGGACTTTATCGAGGGTCATCCTAAGGAATGTTCAAACACACTGGAATAGATCCCGCTTGGTAATTATCAATGTCTGAGTTTAAAGATGAAATGAGCTAAATATTCCGTAGGGTGTCACAAGTTATCGTATACAGGCAATATCTCGTTTATTTGACAAGATAATCGAAAAATTCAAATACTGCATCGAATGACATCGAAGTATCTTCTGATGACATATACATACATATATAAAACAATCTATTACATATGACAATTCCCTGGCAGCTACCTCCCACTTTTTTTTTCAAATGGCACCCCCTGTATATTGTCATTGATCATTACGTGTCACTCAATTTGGAACATAACGATAGCGTATACTTGATATATTTTCTCATTGATAACAACAAAAATACCAACATCTCGTGACTTGTTTCAATTCACTTAGTTATCCTTATGAAAATGAAAAAATGCCTTCACTCATGTTGATTGTTCCAGAAAGCTGATGATTCTCAAGTCAAGATGATTTTTATTACTTGCTATGATTTCTAGTTAATTTTTTGATTCGCATAAAATATATTTTAGTCGAAATTCCTACTTCATTGAATGTTGCTGTTTTGTTATAATAATTAAAAATACCAAGTATATGCTATTGTTATTTTCCTTATAGGATGACACGCAATTTCCAATGATAATATACCCGGGGTGCAATTTGAAAATAAAATGTGGAAAACAGCTGCCAGAGAACTGTAAAATGTAAAAGATTTTTCCATATGTCATCTGGAAGGATCTTTAATGCCATTCAATGCAGTTTCTTATCAATGAGATAGATAGATAGAAATTTATTTCTATACAAATAACATTTAATTAATTGATCGTCAGATAAAATGGTACTTTACAAAACAGAAGTGTGTATAATCACAAAACTACAAAACTACATAAATAGTGTAAAAAGTATAACTAGGGAAATGTCTATCACAGAAGTTCATTCATGCTCAGGTCAAGATACTCTTTTCATCGTATAAAAGCAGTTTTTCAGTAAGGAAGCTCTGATTTTATTTTTGAATTGATAAAAGTTCAAGCTCCTCATCTTATTGAAGAGCTCCTCATCTTATTGAAGAGGTGCAGATTCACCTAGTCCCTTTTTGACTTCTGTAACCTGAGCTTAAGTATTATAAGCAAGTTGCCATTGCGAGTGGAATAACGCTGCAATTCGGATTAAACGGTATAATTTTAGTCTCATGGATTTCGAGTGAAGATTTATGAATAAAAAGTGTAGAGAGTGGCATAATTTGGAAACCCACAAAAAGAGGGCGACAGTGCTCGTGAAAATGCACTCCTCTGCCATTACTCGAATAACTCTCTTTTGCCACATAAAAACTTCATGAGAATGACAGGAGTCACCCCATAGTATAATACCGAAAGTTGAATTACTATACATAGAATAACCCATAGTAACAAGATCTGAGAACGTGTGAACATGTGATTTAGTACATAAACTGTTTGGGTCTGCACTTCGACAAATTAATCATGTATCATTTGCGAAAAGAACGATCTTTGTCGGAGATATAAAATAATAAAGGTAATTTATATGAATAAGGAATAAAAGGGGGCCCAAAACAGAGCCTTGAGGAACACCGTGGTCAATAACCTTTCGATTAGAGAGAGCACCACATCGTCTCAGGTAAGATTGAAAAAAATCGAGAGCCAAGCCTCTGATGCCATGATAATGAAATTTTGTCAAAAGAACCTAATGCGGACACAGTCGAATGCCTTCGAAATATCACACAACGTGAGTTGAGAGTAAGTACCTTCTTCCAGGTTCTCGACTATGTCCGACACAACTTTTAGGAGAGCTTGTATTGTGGAACGGTTTTTTCTAAAACCAAATTGAGCGAGATGTTGCCTGTTGACGATAACTTGAGACACGCTGGTAAACTAACCCTCCTGCCCAAGAGCACTGAATCATGAATTTCCGCGTGAAAAATTTGTCTACGAGTATGTAGCAGAGATCAGTTCCATTGCCTCTTCGGTCGCAAATAACAGCCAGTTTTTCTCTCAATGCTTCGAAGTAGCTTTTGTCGCTCAATTTTTCTTCGAATTCGACCAGTTCTAACAAAGAATCGATGGGCTTGATTCCATCCAATGAATACGTTGTATTGGTCACTGTGGACGTGGTCGAAGTCTTCCTGAGTCTCTCGTTATCTTTTGCGAGTCTTTGGAAGATGACCTTGAAGTTGGCTAGCTGTTGCATTATTGTACCTTGATTTTGAAGCATTACATTTTGGTTGGCCAGCAATGTTTCATACGTAATTGATGAGGGCTTTAACTGAAATTGAATTATGATAATAATTTATTAATGTAGTATACGAAGGATCAAATAATTTTTAGAAAGATTTCATCTACAACCATCAAGTTAATCATGCATTGCTGACTAAATTTTCAGAAGTTAACGTTAGTTGTTGCTGTTGTGAATTCACAGTACGATTGAGTAAAACTGTGACATGCCATCGACTTGTCAAATGTAGTTATTATGGAAATCAATAGTTTATCTCGATTATATCAAAGAAACTGCAATAGCTCGAAAAGTAAAGGGAAATATGGTATAGTTCAGAAGGGAATTGAATTTTGCATTACTTGGAACGAAAAGATACTGGGTGTTGTATTTGAATTAACCAAGGTATAATAGTTTGTGATTACCGTGAGAGAACTTGGCAATATAAAACACCCCGAATAATATTTATCGACCACTAATGCCCCATCTATTAGCTCGAAGTATTCGAAGAACTCTGTTGAGAATTGGTACATTTTAATTATCGTGCTTCAATGATATCAAGTTATTGTTAGTATCTCATATTTTTAAAAAAGTAGGAAAATCTTGAAAATTGAAAGAATTAGGTATAGAGAAACTTCAGCAAAGTGAGTTCATTTTTCATCGTAGAATTCAGAAATGCAATAAAATATAGGGTGTTCCATTTAAAAAAGTACAACTTTGATATGCCACCTTTCCTCGAGACACTCTGTATTCATCACACTATTTTTAAAATATAGTCCAAAGCGACATTATTTCGCCTGAATAAAATTATATCTCAGAAAGTTCATCCTTTGGCCATTATAGCCCGATACGTTCAGCTTGACTCACCCTGTATATAGGGTACATAGGGTACAGACCAATCATTGCTATCCTGCAATCATCAGTTTTGACGTAGATACCTAGGTTCTGAGTAATCTGCAAAAGTGAAATTCGTTTCACATAACAGGGTGTAAATTTGAAAACTTTCAATGCGAATATCTCGCGAAATAAAAAAGTTAGAAATACGCCGCTTGGCAAAAATGCTAAAGAGTTAAGAGGAACTAGAACCACCATATTTCAGTGAAGGGATGAGTCACCCTGTCAGCGCAACACACCCCAACTTTGAAATGTCAAATGGCACTACCTCTTTTGTGATACCTCAAATGAACGGTCTCAGTCAGTAGTATTCACCTGTACAAGACTTTTTTTCCACCCACTACAGGGTGTACGAAAAACATTAATTCGAGGGTCTAAATTTAAAAACTTTCAATGCGAATATCTCGCTAAATAAAACAGTTAGGAAAAGCCGTTTGGCACAAATGCTACAGAGTTAGGGGGAACTAGAACCACCATACTTCAGTAAAGGGATGAGTCACCCCGTCGGCGCGACACACTCCATCTTTGAAATGTCAAATGGCACTTTCTCTTTTGTGATACCTCAAATGAACGGTCTCAGTCAGTAGTATTCACCTGTACAAGACTTATTTTTCACCCACTACAGGGTGAACGGAAAACATAAAGTCGAATAAAATAAAATGCAGAATGCCGATATATTCCAAGAGATGTGTTCCAAAATGTTAGAATGGCATTTGAACATTGCTTACAACAGAATGGAATGCATTTTGAACATCTGATCAAATGAAATATCCGCTTTTAACACAATTCATTTTATTTTATTCGACTTTATATTTTTCGTACACTCTGTAGTAGGTGGAAAAAAAGTCTTGTACAGGTGAATACTACTGACTGAGACTGTTCATTTGAGGCATCACAAAAAAGGTAGTGCCATTTGACATTTCAAAGTTGGGGTGTGTCGCGCCGACGGGGTGACTCATCCCTTGACCAAAATATGGTGGTTCTAGTTTTAACTCTTTAGCATTTTTGCCAAACGGCGTTTTTCTAACTTTGTTCTTTCGCGAGATATTCGCATTGGAAGTTTTCAAATTTACACCCTGTATACACAGCATTACGGCATACTTCCAAATACGGCTGACTGATATGACGCTTATAATTTTTTCATTTCCTGTCAATAAAAACAAGCATTTCCACAATGCAAATTATTGAAATAAATCATAATTGCCCATTAACCAATATTGAATATTTTCCTCAATACGATTTTGATGACGTTATCATCTTGAATTAGATTTGGTAATTTTGCAATATCCTAATCTATCTTAATTTCGGAGATTGATTTCTGAGCTCTCAAAATTGGCGTGATATTTGAATGGTTGTAGATAAAGTAAAGTATTCTACTCGCACATAATGTATATATATATATATATAACTCATTCAGATGATTGCAGCACTCGCATTAAGCTCATTCTGCAAATTTTTTCTTCGTGAGTAATAGTCATCATTATGTGCTCATTAAATAATGTACTTATATGTATTGAACTCAATGCTTACCCCTACAATATCGCTGGAATATTCCTGTGTGTTCACATCGATGTGTTTTGGGCTTGACGAAATAGATTCAGGTTCATTGGAACGTGGTCGTTCAGTCTTTTCCGCCGCATTATACTGTCTAGTATAACCTATAATATGAAAAGAATAAATCGAACAATATATATTCAAATATCATTCAATCTCTGATGTAGATGTGAAATCTGTTTAAATTCAGTTCGGAAGACATCAGACTATATCAGGAATCAGAATTTCTTGAACTGAACACCTCATAGTTAAGAATAATTACTGTGATATATAAAAACACGGACAAAACAATTTTTGGATAACCATAAATATCGTGAACTCAACTGAGTCATACAGGATGATTAACGTAGGCCACACATTTAAAATTTTTTAACTCGCAATCAGGTTGTTTACTTAATACAAGTGAGAGTTATCGAAGAGTGAGATAATACCTAGACACCATTATATACAGGGTGTTTCAAAAAAACCAAATCCTCTTGCTAGGGTGACTAGAACATTACAAAATAAGTTGGGCTTCCTCAGTTAAAAAATGTCGTAACGTCATCCGTTTTCAAGATACTCTATGAAAGTTGTGCCAGAACACATAATCGTTATTGTTTATAGAGAGATTAGCGCATAGCCTACTGGACATAAAAACAAGAATTGGAAATCAGTATTCTTCATAAGATAAATTTGTGACTGTGATACAATACCAGGAAGGAAATTTCATGCTGATTTCAAATCTCAAAATCCAATATGGCGTCCATGAGGAAAACCGAAGTTGTAGGTGATGTCTCAGAAACTTGACATTTTGATGGAAAACTGACAAAACCATTGAAAAAAAGACCAAAAAGTGCTATGCGAATGCTGAAGTAATTTTTTCATAAAATCAATAGTTTCCGAGATACGCGAGAAAAAAAAATGATTTCAATTTTTTTCAAATAACTCAAGAATGACTGAAGCTAGCCTGGAATTCTTGATAGATCCTAATCCAACATGAAATTTGCTACAACTTTGCTAACTTAAGCGTTTGTCTATCTCTCATAGTTTCTGAGATCCCAATGGTGGTCTATCCGTCATCAGACAATGGCTGGTTAGTGATGACTTGCACTATAGAAACATTGAAAACCGAGTTGAAAACGAACAATATACAACCACGATATCAAACAATATATATTACTTGATTAATTCCACCTAAGTCGATTTATGTATAAGAAGTATGTGCGATTTCATATTATTTTTGTAGGTGAATGTTTTGCAACACAAGTGACATTTGAATTGGGGTTCAATTCCACAGTCAAATTTCTTGTGTCGGTTCAAATTTCTTTTGTATTGGTATGATTTTCCACAGCGATCGCAAGTGAAACCTGAAAATTATAAATTGCGTTCAATACTTCCTATACCTAATGAGCAGAAATGTACGTTGATTCAACGTTCATTCACCATTGAATGGGTGAGGAGTACGTTACTCGTAGATTTTTCAACGTTGTCAATCTCATGAAATAACGTTACATGACCATGCACGTTTCAAATTCAACGTGATCATCAAACTATTAATTGATTTTTTCATTGAAAATACGTATTCTTCAAATTAAGTATATCTTTTGATGTTGAACCGTTATTTTCCGCTACATTTTCACCAATATGCGACGGAAGGTTATGCTCAACATTTTTCCGAGTGTTTATCAGGTAGGGTGAAAATTATAATGAGATAGCTATACATCAGATTTCATCTTCGAGGAGTGAGTGATAGTAATCACATGTTATCCCTTTTTCATCTACAGGATTATTCACCTTATAGTAGCAGAACTACTCGATTGGTTGTTCTTCAACACCTAAACCTTCAATTTGTTTTACTCTCAGGTGGGATCTCATTTTTTGACATATTGTTTCAATTATTTGGTTCTTCGTTTAGGCGTATGAACGCTAACGAAGATGAATCTAGAAGGATACATACGAGTTGTTCTCAGTTTCTGAATCATAGTACATAGTTTATTAATCATAGTTCATAGTTTATAAATCTCAAGTCTTGCTTCCTGAATAATTATAAATGTGAAAATTTCACAAACGATGAGATTTTCACGAAATTATAATCTCGCACGACATGTTTCGCTGAAACGGCTTCTTCAGATGGAAATACTGGTAATATATACTGAACTTACATTGCCTCGCCTAACTTTTATAGCCTACTCTGCCAACCAAGGATAATGAATGGTAATTCAAAAAATTTAAGAAACACCCTTTTATATTCCAATTTCGACGAAAGAATCATAATCTCCAACCTCGAAAACCCCCACATGAGAATTTTCGGTAGAATTTCATCATAACTACAAAATTCGTCCTTCAAAATGGATCTGCCATCTTGAATTTTTGGATTATAACGGAAGAATCATAATCTCCGAACCCGAAAACCTCCGGATACAAATTTTTAATAGATTCGGATCATAATTACAAACCACGTCCGTCGTATTGGATACGCCATCTTGAATTTACCAATTTCGATAATAGGGTCATTATTTCCGATCTCGAAAATCCCCAGATACAAATTTTGAATGGAATCGGATCATAATTTCAAAACTGTTTCGCCATATCGGATCCGCCATCTTGAATTATGGAATTTTGACGGAAGAATCATAATCTCTGATCCCAAAAACCTTCAGATACAAATGTTGAATAGATTTGGATCATGATACCAGGACTCGTTAGCCATATTGGATCCGTTATCTTGAATTTACCAATTCTGGTATCATAATCTCCGACCCCGAAAACCCCCTGCAATTTTAAATAGAATCGGATCGTAATCACATAAATCGTCCGCCATTGTGGAGCCGCCATTTTGTCTTTTTGTTCAACAAAAATTTGGTACACCTACCAAATTTCAACACAAACGGTCCGTTTGAAGTGAGTACACACATACAGGTGAAGCTAATAAAAGGATGTTGAAAATTAACCCAGTTGAAAGGTTCGATAAACCTTCATTCTCGGAAAGTAGACATAATATGTATAACATTGAAATACGATATACCGGGAGGATTAATAGCGAATACATATTAATATCTTCTGAGAAAACAAATTCAAGAGCAGTGAATTATTGAGGTCTATATGATCGATGAGTAAATTGTTAGAATTTTTGCGTTTGTTGATTTCTAATGATTCAAAATAATTTAGTTTCATTCCTTCATTTTCAACATGTAGAATTTCGAACTTACCATTGAAATTATCTTCATGAATACGCTGATTGAACGTTTGTCCTGTCTGTCCACAGTTTGGTTTGAAAATTTTCGAATTTTGAAGTTATATGTTTATTATTTTTGATAAACCCTCCTAACGTGTTATTTGTTCTATAGGTTGAACGTTTTATCAGCCCATCCATGAACGTACTTTTAAGAGTGAACAAATTCAATTTCAAGACACCACAAGTTGTATAGAACTTCTAGGAATCGAAAAAAAAACACGATATGCCATCTGGTTATGTTTATTCCGAACCAATCGAATATTTGGGTATACATTATTCTGGATATGTGGTCCAATTCGATTGATGTGTGGCTAAATGTGATTTCATGTTACTTTTGTGAGTGAATAGTTTGTTACATATGTAACATTCGAATTGAGGTTTCCTTCCACATTCAAATTTTTTGTGACGATGCAAACTTCATTGATATTGATATGTTTTGGAACAGCCATCACACCTATGAACTGAAAAAAAACAAGTGATACGGTCCACAGATAATGCAATATCAGTCATCCTTTCTGAATCTTATTATAGATCGTTATAGATATATAAAATATTTTAATTATTGAACAACGAGGAATGACGAATAAGGAATTTGGTGACTTTTATATTCAGGCCAACAGAGTTGACCTTTACAGACGATGCCATTGTAAAGAAACGTCAAAATGTAGCATTGGATCCACAACAATCAGCATCCCATATCCAGACTAGTGATGTTATTATTGATCCTTTCAAATTTGGGCTTATGAATGATTCCGGAGAGTCCAAAACACTTCAAAAACAATTATACACTGCATAACTGTAGCACCAACCCAAAATGGTTCACTATCACAAACAGTTTTACCTCTTGCTATCCACGTCATCATGAGCTAGCATTTTTTATTGTATCACAAAGAAAAAGAAACTCGAAGTCATTACCACAATAGTTCATTAAATGAACATAAATGGAAGATAATGGGACAAAAACAACTACTTTCCTAGCTATATGCCACGCAGAACTTTGGAATATATCCTTCAGGAATCTATGCAATAATTCGTATAGACGAATAAAAGTGGTTCAGGAACGCGTGAATACCTGCAGACCGATTTCGAGCTGTTGGCTCTCATCAGTGCAGGGCTGTCCCAGATAGAGTTCTTGACCGCTATCTGGTGCGAACCTTAACCAACGTAAACGCATCTCAGCCCCTAATAACACACGTTATCCAGACGACATCCATTTTATATCCATTTGCCGTCCAAGACATCCATGGACGCCAAATGGAATTATCTTTTGATGTACATTGTTGTATATCCAGCTGATGATCTAGTATGTACTCCATCTGGAAGCCTATCTATGTCCATGGACGCACATCGAATAGCCACTTGGATGTCCATGCCGGATACTTGGCAGTACATATTGGACATCCATAAGTGTATTGTCGGAATGTCCATTGTAGCGAGAAATTTTGAGAAGAGTGAAATGAGAAGAAGAAGATCTGAATTCATCTGTCAGAATTCGAAACATAATATAGGTTATGTTTATTTTATTCATTCATTTTGGTGGACTTTCATGATAATTACTAGTATTTTATAGTTGAATTATGCCCCAGTTTCCTACTTTATACGGCCTTCATACAAGTAAGTTCTTATTATTTCTGTGTCTATTCAGGTGTTCCTTCACCAGAATGAACAGAAGGAAAAGGATTTGAAACAGGTTCTTCCGACGTATCTACTATAAAGCTAGTAGAAAAAAATTCATCGGATGTTGACAAACTCTTGAATGATACGACAACAGATGATGTGTGGGCAAGAATCACTGACAATTTCGCAGTTTGAGGAATTTTCATCTTCGGGCCAATTATCTTGCTCATCGACCTAAACTGACGATACAAATTTATGGAACACCTTTTTCACTACATGTGGCTCTTGCATGATGAGGATCCACCACATTACACTCTCAATGTCCATTGCTGTTTCATTCAACAGTTTTCAGATAATAAGTAGATGAAACGGCAGAGGAAATATACTATAGTTTATGGGGAGCAGTACCTATAAATTTTAAGGTGTACTTCAGACCAGTAAATACTGAACAGGAATTATGGAGACAGATTCAGAATGCATTGAATATTCTCAAAAACAATGCAGGAACGATGCAAAATATGGATTTCAGTTTTTGTGCTGCCAGTGCATTGGACCACTTCTTTTCCAATTTTATCATCCTAAGTAGATACCTACTATCCATTTTTTTATCATATTAAATACTTTAGGTTTCACCCATGAACAATGTTTGAAATAAAAGAAAATAACATAACCTGTCTTTTGAATACATATAGGTTGGTATATATATGTCCAATATATGGACACCATATGGATGTCCATAATGGACACCAAATGGATGTCCATCATGGATAACGTATGTATGTCCTAAAATGTGGAAAGCTGATATCCTATGGACATCCATAGGATGTCCTGTGTACACAAAGTGGTTATCCTATGGATGTCCAGGGTGTCCGGGTGAGGATATCCATTGGATGTCTAATGGATGAAGGTGTGTTATTAGGGGCATTTATACCCCACGAGGCACATCAGTGCACCAAGCGGATTTTCGTCTTGTTCCATCGAAAGCATTTCATCGTGGATATATATCGAGAAAGTCAAAGGTAGTGAAAAATCATTGAAAACAAAACTTTGAGCTTTATATTAACAAGACATGATAATATGACATTCTCTCTAGAAATATAGGTGATGGTCTTGTCTATCAATTGTATTGCCGTGATATGAAGTTTTTCACATTTTCTTTGTCGAGGAAATCAATGCCTCGAATCTCGTTGGATTTCCGTCACATACTAGGTGATTGTGATTTATGGCAATGTGCTTTTTGACATTTTCTTTCCTCGTCGAACTGTATCCGCAAGGACTGACTAGGCAGTGGAAGGATCTGATGTTGCCACAATCAAATCTCATGTGTTTGTAGTAGGAATTATGCTTGTTGTAGGTTTTGAAACAATTGGGACATACGAACAATTCACCTAAACCTGAAAAAAGAACGGAATAGAATTTTTCCTACGACCACCTATGAAAACAGCATAAAACACACCACATTGTTATTTAGAAAGTAGCTTATACACTGTGTCCATAAAGTCACCCCCCCCCTGGTTAACTATTGAACGAATGGGATTTTTTTTTTCAATTTTTTTTTGCTTCAATGGTAGTTTCAGTGCTATATATTGTTCCAAAAACAAAATATGTATCCTCCAAAATGGCGCCTTGGCGCCATTTTGGAAGATTTTTTTAAATGGAGTGGGGGGTCGAAAGATACCTCGATTGAAAGGTCTTTCGATTCTCTGTACAACCTCAGAATCTTAGACGAAAATATTCATCCAAAACAAAATGGCGGATGATAACGTTTGGAATCTCACACCAGAGTTCTTTCGACTAGATGGCTATTGATGTGATCTTCAAATCTCTATTGGCGTAAAGAAGAGTTCTCTATCCATGAAGATATCAATAGGAAGCCATTTTGAAGAGAATAACATGGTAGTCAAATATACGTTTGCTCGATTGTCTTTCCAAATTCTGCAAAATTTTAGAAATATTTATTCAAAATAAAGAACAATGTTTATTCCACGTGACTACCATGTTTTTCTCTTCAAAATGGCTTTCTATTGATATCTTCATAGATAGAGAACTCTTATATACGCCAATAAAGATTTGAAGATCACATGCGAGCACTTTAATAGCCATCCAGTCGAAAGAATTCTGGTGTGAGATTTCAAACGTTATCATCCGCCATTTTGTTTTGGATGTATATTTTTGTCTGAGATTCTGAGGTTGTATAGAGAATCGAAAGACCTTTCAATCGAGGTATCTTTCGACCCCCCACTCCATTCAAAAAAATCTTCCAAAATGGCTCCCAGGCGCCATTTTGGAGGATACATATTTTTTTTTTGGAACAATATATAGCAATGAAACTACCATTGAAGCAAAAAAAAATTGAAAAAAAAAATCTCATCCGTTCAATAGTTAACCAGGGGGGGGGTGACTTTATGGACACAGTGTATAACCATAGTGATGCAAAAGTTTGAAAGTGATTGTCACGTGTGTTGGAATATTTAAAAAACTCACGCTCACCACACAAGGTTTAGGAAGGTATATGATGTACTTGATAAATGAATCACCATAGGTATTTATTATACGTCTATTCAAATACATTCATTTTCATCAGTTTATAATTTTGATCATTTCGCATCTTGATCAGGTTCATGTTTCTTTGTGAATGTCAGGTCAATTCCAAGTTAATGTTAAGTTGATGTTGCGTTAATGTTGAGTTAACGTTAAACTAATGATGTCATTCAAATATTGAAGCAACATTAAATGATAATGATAATGACATCACCTTCATGTGATCGATTATGATTAGAAACATAATCCCTACTCTGGTCTTATAAACACTCATGACATAATATAATATGAATATTTGTGGTCGTAGGAAGGATAGTGTACCAAACTCGTTGGAAAGTGCATTTCCTGCGCTCGTTTCGTTTCCTAGACGTCCACTCGCGCGAAATATGTCACTTTCCACACTAGTTATGTAATATCCCAGACAGCACCAGATATTCCAAGA